GGGCTTCACCCTATCCATTCATCAGACACTATAGACTGGACGCCTCTGCCTCTGCAGAGGCATCCTTTGGGAGGAGAGTCCTACAGAGAGTGCTGGATACTCGGGGGGACTCAGGCTCTATGGACCCTCCCAGGGACACCTAGCTTTGGTAGGTCCCAGCTGTGACTCCTCCCACGCCCCACTTCGGAGACTGTCAGTTGGTCTTACCTGAACTGCATGTCTCGAAGGATGGCGTGGGAGCAATCACTTCTCGCCCGTAGTGCGCCGCGTGCAGGGTGGGCCTGAGTAGAGTGTTACCGATCAGTCAGGGACCATGAGGGGAGTGGGGGGTGTTACCCTGTTCCCTTCCTTCTAGAAACACTTTGACTGGATCATCGGTTAATCTGGAGAGTCAGAGGAGAGGTAGAGGTGTGGCCTCAAGATTTACCTCAGTCTCCGGGCAGATGGGCTGTGACAATACCCAGCTGTGATTGCTCCCACGCCATCCTTCGAGACATGCAGTTCAGGTAAGACCAACTGACAGTCTCCGAAGTGGGGCGTGGGAGGAGTCACAGCTGGGACCTACCAAAGCTAGATGTCCCTGGGAGGGTCCATAGGGCCTGAGTCCCCCCGAGTATTCAGCACTCTCTGGAGAACTCTCCTCCCAAAGGACACCTCCGCGGAGGCGAAGGCATCCAGCCTATAGTGTCTGATGAACGGAGAGGGCCTCCCTGCTCCGCCACCAGGCCGCTGCTCCTAGGCCTCTTAGTAGCGCTACCGCTACTATGCCAGGCCGATTGCTGAGCACATGAGAGGAGGATCGTCCGACGAATTGCTTGAAGGTAACGCGGAAGAACAATTTCGAAAGGTAAAAAATTAAGGTAAAAGGAAAAAAGGGGAAAAAAGGAAAAAATCCACGCCAAGGAGACCCAGGTATTTAGCTCTTTCTGGGCTGAAGACTGAGGTTAATCTGGAGAGTCAGAGGAGAGGTAGCGATGTGGCCTCAAGATTTACCTGTGGATCACGCCTAGCAGGAAAACCGAGGTAGGAGAGGCGAAATATAAAAAGGCTGCAAGAAAATTCCTGTGGATCTAGCAAAAGGAAAAAAATACTACACACAAAAAAAATCCTAACTAAATACTATTCACTGGAGAATCACTGAGTAGCTCCTGTTAGGCCGAAGACTGAGGTTAATCTGGGGAGTCAATTCGCAATTTGCAATTTAATGGGT